ACACTTGCTTTTAACATTTACAGAATAATGAGCCTTTATTACACATTTGTGCAACAAAACTAAACATATGTTTGGATCAGTTTAGTCAAAACTCAGCAACACAGTTGTACTTCCAAAAAAATCAATCAATGACACATAGAAAGCCAGATTATAGAAAGTTTCCATTAGAATGATGAAAAAAATCAGACTGGAAACATTTGGTTTTATAATGATGCATTTATAATGATACATGAGAGCGGAGACTGAGATTTTCTCTCAGAAATGTGATTATTTTGTAACATGTATAATATATAATATTTCAACTTCTTTGTGATAATTCTCATATATTTTTAAATGGCTTTTTTTCTACACAAAACAACTATTTGATACCTGCTCTTTATTGGAAGTTTAACTCTATATTCACTTTATCTGAAATGTCACTATGATCAGTCTTTATTTCTCGTAAAATGAAAACATGACATACATTCATATGAAAGGAGACAAACTGCAAACTCCTCCTTTTTTGTTTTTCTTGGTGCTCTTTAAGTTCTTGAACATTTTGTTTTCTGAATCAGCTTTTATTTCCTGAGTAAAATTTATATTACAAGACATTTTAATGTACAGACCTAAATATCATTCATGGTCCTCAGAGAATGTATCTTGAACTAAGTCTCTGACTTTTTATCTAGGTTATGCAGCAAGAAAATATTTTACTGACTGAATCCACTAGATTTCAGAGATATTTTTCGAATGATTTTTCATTTAGAAATACAGTATATGGTAAAAAAATGTTTCGAAAATATCTTACATTTGGTTGACACCATGTTTTAAAACAAACTCCTCTGAGAGATGTTTCTCCATCTGAAATTATATAATTTATGATTAAATTGTCTAGATTTATATGGGAGACCTCATTGTGTCAATGAAGAACCTGATTGGTGCTAGGATATTAGTCATTTTTCGATTGTTGCATCTTCAGACCGAAGATATCTCAGTTGTGAAATAAAACTTCTCCCATCCTGGGAGTTCCCGTTTTTTTGGCTGTTTGCTGTTGTGTAACTGCATCTCTCTCCTGTTCACTTGTTTGGCTCGTTTTGGGTCACGGATGGCACAGCTGAATTGCCCATTGTGCTGTCCTGTCTCTCTCTTTCTCCATCTCTTATTCCCTATCTCTCTTGACCTCTCTCTCTCTCTCTCCTGTGGTACTACTTCCTCCTCTCAATTTACTTCAGCTCAAATCAGTGAGCTTCGCTGGCAGTGCAAGGAGGCCCATGTTTTTCTTGTACTGTTTAACAGGAGATTACATTCCAGTTAAGTGTTATGGGTGTGGGTACAGTGGTGAGAAATCTTTTTATTTGGTAGTGGAAAGGGAGGACAGGACCAGTTTGGTGATCTTGTTGGATACTGCATGTTGGTAAGGCTGGCTAGAATCTAAATTTGCTCCCAACATTTCCATCCTCTGCTACTGGCTGAACATTATCTAAATACAAACAAGACTGAAGGTGTGAAGCTTGCAGACCGTAGACAATGCAATATAAATATGACCTCATTGTGTCAGAGGAAACCTCATTAGCTCAGTTTATCCTCTGGGGAGAAGGAATTTGCTCATTTCAGTGCATCTGCCCTTTAGATGCTGAGATTCCTCATGTGCAAGAGCAACATTTGACCAATGGCAGGGCTACAGGAAAGGACAGGGGGTCACCAAAATTATAACAATTAATCATATGGGGGCCAGACCAAATTTCATAGCATTCTGACCTATAATTTCTACGGAGCACCGCAGGTGTTGGGGGATTTGTTTTTAACTTGTACACATGCATTAGCAATCCATGTTCTCACATATTTTGTGTGTTTGGATTAACATATTAACAGAACTTGAAAGTAAGTGAAACTACTTTTCGTACAAACTACATTTTGACATATGATATGTTTAAATGATGTCAAGGTTAAGTCAACATTGTTTACCCGTACACATACTTCTGTTCCAAATCAAAACAAAGTGTATTAAACTGTATTAAACCCAGTTGATAATTGCATTTATATTTTCAATTGTCACTGATTATTTTGCACGCTGCATTGGGCTGCACACAGTACATGTGCACCTGACAGTATTGCTGAAACAATGTTGGTAGCCAGGAACAGTGGGCTCAGAGCTAAATGCCATTTATGCTCACAGTGACAATGCTAACACTGATGTTTAGCAGGTATAATGTTTACCATGTTCATCATCTTACCATAGCATGTTAGCATGCAAACATTTGCTAATTATTGGGATTTTCAATTGGTTTTACAAGTCATAAACCAACATAAACCAATGCATTATATAGGAAATTTATAACAACTAGAACAAAACAAGCTGAATATAAGTATAAGATATAAAAATAAACTAATAAGTATTATAAGATTTAGCAAAAAAGATTATTATCATAAATTATTGGACAGGTATAAGAGTAATAATCAAGCAACATGAAAGTACTCAACAGTATAATCAAAAAGAATACTGGAAAAATAGATTACCCAAATTATTTTGTAAATGATGATGCATTAATATTAAATGAAGTGAATGACATTGTCAATAAATTTAATGAGTATTATGTAAATATTGGATATAAACTAGCAAAAGAGATTGTGGAACAGCAAACTGGGGATAGGGTTGATGAAGTAAATATTATTAGTAATAAACATTCAATATTTATCAAGGCAACTGATGAGACGGAAATACTAGATATTGTTAATAACTGTAAGAATAAAAATTCTACTTATTGTGATGATATTGACATGGCATTATTAAAAAATATTATAGAATATATAGTAAAACCATTTACATATATTTGTAATCAGTCCTTTGTAACAGGTATATTTCCAAGTAAAGTGAAAATAGCAAAAGTTAATCCTATTTTCAAAAATGGAGATAGACATCTTTTTTCCAATTATAGACCAATTTCTCTGCTTTCCCAGTTCTCAAAAATCTTAGAGAAATTATTCGTGCGCAGGCTTGACAATTTTATAGATAAGCAATTGAACTATTGAATGAACATCAGTATGGCTTTAGAGGAAATAGGTCGACCTCTGTATGGCAGTGATGGAACTAGTAGAGGAGATTTCCACTTCTGTGGATGATAATGAATATACTGTGGGGGTGTTTCTAGATTTAAAAACAGCTTTTGACACTATTGATCATACTTTATTAATGAGGAAATTGGAGAGATGTGGAATAAGAGGGAAAGCCCTCTCTTGGTTAAGAAGTTACCTAGAGGATAGATATCAGTTCGTACAAATAAATAACATTAAATCTGATCTAATGAAAGTTACTTGTGGTGTTCCACAAGGTTCGGTGTTAGGTCCCAAATTGTTTGTATTGTATATAGATGATATTTGTAAAGTGTCTAAAATATTAAAAATTATATTGTTTGCTGATGACAAAAATTTGTACTGTACGGGAAAAAGTTTGGAACAGCTTCTGAATACGGTTGAAATCGAACTGATGGCCTTAAAAAGATGGTTTGATGATAATCGACTTTCATTGAATTTGAGTAAAACAAAGTTCATAATATTTAGCAATCGACAAAGTAATAGTAATGTTAAAATTAAGATTAGTAATGAGGAAATAGAAAGAGCAGATGAATATAAATTCTTAGGTGTTATAATAGATCATAAATTATGCTGGAAATCACATGTAAATAATCAAAAGACAAAAATGTCTAAATCCATTTAGTATTCTATTTAGCATAAATAAATGTCTAAAATTGATTTAGACATTTTTTGAATCAAAAATCATTATATATATTGTATTGTTTGCTCATAGTTCCATACATTACTTATTGTGTGGAGGTGTGGGGTCATACATATAAAACTTATACAAATTCAATATATATGCTACAAAAGAAAGCATTAAGGACTGTAAAACGGGCTGACTATTATGAACCAACAAATATATTATATATTAATTTACAAGCTTTAAAATTTATTGATTTTGTTGACCTTTATACTGCCCAGGTCATGTATAAAGTCTGTAAGAATTTAGTTCCGAATTGTGTTCAGAGGCTGTTCGAAATTAGAGAAAGTCAGTACAAATTAAGAGGAATGTATATGTTTAAAAAAGTAGAAGCAATAACTAATATAAAAAATAGATGTATATCTGTTAAAGGGGTAAACCTATGGAATAATTGTGACAAAGAATTAAAATTGTGTACTTCACTCTGTAATTTTAAGAAAATGTTTAAAAACAAGATGATAAATAATTATATAACTCAATACGATTAATTTGTGTATGCTTTATGTCAAATATTGAAATAATATCTGAGATGTGTACCACTGTAATCATGTATGAACATCTTGGAAATTTTTCTTTTCCTTTTTTTTATGTAACTGTACGTTTATTTTGAAAAGAGAGAAAAGTGACGTTCATTAGATAATTATGTAAAAAGGGTAAGCACAGTAAGCATAGGCTTCAGTCTACACCTTTTTCAGTTGTTATGCATGTATATATCGTTTTATTTTCATCGTTTTCCTTTTTTTGTTTTGGAAAATTATGTGTGAGAACCGAAATAAATTTTGTTGTTGTTGTTGTTATTGGACAAATTAAAATATCAACCTCATGGTGGCATTCCACAAAATGTTAAGAGATCAACAAAGTCATCAACCTGAGGAATAAATAAATGTTTGTACCAAATTTCCAACAGACAGACATCTTAGATAGAGTCGTACCACTAGTGTGGCTGAAGTGTTGAGGAGACAACAGTAAATGTAATAACCTAATGATATTATGATGGAGTTGAGTCAATATCAACTCAGTACCAAAACTAGCCGACCCCTTAACTGACCAAAGTATAGGCACAATAAACAGTAACATCAGTCTGTGCTGTTTTGCTAATTTGACATTACTTGGAAAGTTCCAGGCTCATAAGACTTAGAAATATCTTCTCTAAGGTCCAAAGTCCTGGACAGCCTGGGTTGCTGATACTGTTATGATAAAGATAATTAGACTGCTAACGCTGTTTCTCTTCTCTTTGTGTCTGCAGCTGGTCTTCTACGTGGTCGTGCAGACGTTGTACACTCTTGGTCACAGTCTGTCTTTAATCGCCCTCACCACAGGGAGCGCCATCCTCTGTCTGTGCCGGTAAGACCAAATATTACAACGTGAATACATGAGAGTCAACTTCAGTGGTCCCTGTGGTAAAGCTGGGTCTGCAAAAAAATAAAAATACTAGTATACTGTTAGAAGACGACTGGCTGGTGTTCATTTCAAGCTCAATTTTTAGGTCTTGACATGTCAGCAGAGTCGGAGGAAAAGTTGTCTGTTTAATTGGATATTTAAATGAACAAACAGTGGCAGTTTCAAAGCTTTATCATTAATTGTCAACAGATATGTGTTTGTTTGTGTGGTAGCCTCTCAGTTTACAGCTTAATTGGATTTAGTTTTCTTTCTAGTTTTTAATTAAAATTATGATGATTGCAGTATCTTTTTGTTTCCCATTTTGCATTGCTGTGGGAATTGGTTTTAAGAATCCACTGGAGGTTTGACCAAAGCAGTAAAGGGGGAAATATGCATAAACCACATATGTATGAGAAAACTTTAAGGGCTCAAACTTTTAGGGACTATGTCCCTTTGGACGTTAATTAAGAAAATCTCACTCTTTCAAGTTTTTTAAAATCTTTTAATGACCTCAGTAATTTACATTATCAGTGCGCATGTGTTTGATGATGGTTCATCCTCTTATATTTAAATTCAAGCTCTTCTGCACCATGGGTATCTAAATTCATCCAAATAATAGTTCTTAATGCTCTTACCTCTGAATAAAGGCTCATTATATTTTTGCTTTAATGTGGCTATACAATAGTTACACATACACTTCCTGTAGATTTGAAAAACGTGTTTTTAGCGTTATTGGAAGCTGGTTGTGTGTGCAGACCTTCTGACTGCAGAATATATTCATGTTTAATGTTATATAACAATGTAACAGATGCATCGCATACTGATTCAATGTCATGTCAACGACTGATTGGATTGATGTATCGTATCAAAAATAATAATTTAAAAGTTGCAATAAAATAGAGACAGTAGTCTAATAATGCAAGGTCAAATAACAAATAAAAAAAATAATAATAATAGCTTTATTTTATATAGCACTTTTCAATGCAAGTAACAGAGTGCTTTACAGAAATCAAGGTAAAACATTCAAGTCAAGTGAAAATCTGTAACTCACATGAATAAAACATAAAACAAGTTAATGTACAAATAATGGAGAAATAAAATACGCTTTACACATTGAAAGCTTTTTTTGTATAAATGAGTTTTAAGAAGTGAGGGAAAAATTAAGTACATCTTTGAATTAGAAAATTCTAACTCAAGGTCCACTTACTATATTTTATGATGAGGAAGTCTTTGATTTATGAAAAACTATAGTTTCTAAGGTAAAGAATGAGCTGCCATGCTTAAGTCTGAATTGTGTTTTAAAACTAGCCTCTGACTTTTCCTCTCAAACATCTCCAGCTAAAGTATTGTGAAGTTTAGGGACTTTGAGAAAGAAATTGGTGATGATGTATTGCTACTGATGATGAAATACTCCCCAGTCTGAGTGACACAAAACACTGCACAGCTGTTTAGGATATGACGGGACAGGAGGTCATTTTATTATCTTGTCTCAACTATTGCAAGACAAAGAGGACAATTACACTGTTGAATCTTCAAATAATATACAAGTCATGTGTGCTTGTGCATATTTGATTAACTAGTGTGTTGCCACATGTCACTGCGTTGTGTTGCAGGAAAAAAATTTTTTCAGAGGACCCTGCATTCTTTTGCCAGAGCCCTTTGCATCTGGACCTACACTATGTAATGCAGTAGTCATATTTAAACAAAGGAGAGGACCATAGTTTGACATAGTACTATGTTAGTCCGAACATGACATTGATCTACTTGAAAATGTGGCTCAAGACCATTCAGAACTTCCAAAAGTCAAAAGCGCATAAATTGATTATGGAGTGCAGGACAGCTTGGTATGATGTGTTTTTAAAAAGCATGTCTTCAAAGTTTTTCCACATATTCTGAAAAATACAAATGTAGGAGTTCATTTGTGGTAGCATTTGATAAGATTGGCGCAAAAAATAATTTGGGAGGAGCTTTTCAAACCTGAATTGCTTTGTCATAATTTAACACACGACAAAGCAAATTTTAACCAGAATCTGTATTACATATCTGTGTAACATCTGTGCAGGAAGCTCCACTGCACCAGAAACTACATCCACCTCAACCTCTTCTTCTCCTTCATCCTGAGAGCAGTGGCCGTGTTGGTGAAAGACAACATCCTCTTCAACCGAACCTCGCACTGCTCCAACCAGCCATCACTGGTGAGGTCACCACCTCCGTCCTCGCTGAGCCGAGTCGTGTCCTGAGGCAGCACAGAGAGCAGGAAGCTGCACGCTCATGTGTTAACAGCACAACTGTCACAGTGTGATGCTTCCAGCCACAGTTTATAAAATGGAAATATAAATTCAGTTTTACAGAAATGGGACAGTTTTCTATTTGCTATTTTAATTTCTTTATAACATGATAAAAAAATCTCAAACCATCTACTGTGACAGTTCATTAACAGATATCTTTGTCTAATATACAGAAGGGATGACAGGAAATTCCTCTCCAGCCACATTTCGAGCTGTGATTGAGGCTGCATATTTGTTCGCATATTCCATGACTTCTGTGAAGCAGTATCTTGTAGCGTCCAATGTATTAAACCCAACAACATTTCAGAACTTGTTGAGATGAATCCTTTTGTTTAATCTTGTCTTTGTTCATCCAGATTACAATTGGTTGGGTGACCTCATAGTCTAAAGCACTGAAAGTACAGTATTGATATAACAAAACAATATCCAACACATAGTTGGGAATTTTATACCTTTGCATACTTTTTCTGCAGAACATTTCATTTCATTTAACAAAAAAGGGCAAATATCTGAAATTCATGTTGTGTTTAATGGAACCAAAAATTAAATGCTCATTTGCTGGCTTACTCACAGCAATGATTCCAAGATCCAGAGTCACAGCAGAAAACAAACAAACTACTACTTCCGTAGCATAATCCATTTATCTGCCATTGATCTGTATGTTAAAACCAAAAATTTCTACACCAATGCTACATCCGGCAGAGCTTTGAAGGTATTAGGAGGCACAGGCACAGTATGTAGTTACATTAACACAAGTTCGTTTGGAACATACGGACTAAAGAGAAAGAGGTGGACTTGATGACTTGATGGTGGACATTTTGATAATATTTTTAAAAATGTTTTTTCCCCCATGAATCGGAGCTGACTACAGCTGCGATACTCCATGAAGCTACAAAATTTCAGGTTCACCATTCAAGCCATTAAGTAGTTAACAGGGCTGTAGATTATTTAAAAGATAAAGTTGGAATTAATGACTGAGAACTAACATGTAATTGAATAACTCATTTGAACGCAAACCACGTTGCTTAATCCTAAACATCGCAGAATTGAATTTGAGTTCCCTGTGCTTGGTAGTAGGATACATGACTTCAGGATAGTCTCTAGAATGATCCTACAGTTGAATTAATTCCTCTCTAAAACCGTTTCTGCACAAATGTAACAACTTTCACAAAGGTAGGCTTTATTGCAGGACTGTATTCGACTGCATCGGTTTTGGGTAGGTGTACCTAATAAACTAGCAACTGAATGTACACTGTCAAGTTTTAATTTGGGAAGATTATTACAGATGAAATATTCGTAAGTGATTCCCTTTAATTCCAGCTGTGCAAAAAACTAAACAAAATATTAACCAAATGGAAAAATATATAAAATGGAGTGCTCTTGTGGCTTAGAGGTTACAATGCCAACTATGAACCAGAACTTTACCAGTTTAAATCCAGCTGAAGACTTTTTCTGCATCTCTCTCCTTTTTTTGCTGTCATTCCTCTACTGTCACAATCTAACAAAGCCATATTAATTTGCCCCAGCAAACATTAAAAACACAAGACTAAAAATCTCACTGACAACTTTCAGTACTTGGCAGCCTTTGATATTCTTTTGATGCTCTAAAGCAGCAATTCACAAAGTGTGGTGCGCGCACCCCTTGGGGGTGCGCAACAGGAAAAATGTAATGGTGGTGTAGTAGTGTAATAACTACAACAATTATTTTTTGTGGAACTTTTCATGAAATAAACACTTGAATTGAAAACTTTCCTTTGTAAATTTCATTAAAAACTAAACTAAACTAAAAACGTTATTATTAATAGTTAGCTCACAGGGAATGGGTACTCATACACCTCTTTCCCTCTCCCTCTCTCTCCCCTCCTTCTCTGTCAGACTGAGCCACCCGCGCTGTACTTACAAATTCTCATATGGATCCTCTTTTAGTCCTTGTTATCTGTTTATGAGGCTCTACGTAGGTTGCGATTTGTGAGAAAGCAGCGGAGCGATGTTTTGAAACATTTTTTTGTCATGAAAAAACCCCCTCACAGCCTGAGAAAAAGGTTTACTGCCACTGTTACTTTTTAAAGTGGTAAATATCTAACGTTACATTGCGATCAGTGAGGGACTGATTTAAAAGCCGTCACTTTCAAGAGTGTCAAAGTGAAACCCCGTAGCTGTGACTTCGGGCATGTTCACACTGGTGTAACAGGGACACTGCGCTGCTTGTCATCATAGAAACAGTTCTTCAGATTTTGATGTTTATTGCACCTTCAGTAATACAGTCTCTTCAACACACTCGCCGGAGCAAGTGTTGATAGGCTATTATTCACAACTTGTAACCAATCAGATAGCGCTGTGGGTGGGACATTGAGCAAATAAATAAAATAGATAATAATATATATATATAATGTTGTTATTATGTATATATATAAGGTTTCTCTACTTGCCTTCAATTGCTTTCATACTGACATGGAAACGTCTCTCTAGTTACTGAAAGAATACTGTCAGGAGCAAGGCACTCTGACCTTTATACTCCCATCTACTTGCTGTTTGGAACGTTGTGATTTGCAAAGCTTATCTTCCTGGTGAACTCACTGATTGCCCCAGTGGAAAAGGGTAATGTATACCCCCATATCAGAATAATTAGCATAATAAAAGCCTGATTAACCCACAGTTCTCTGTGGATGTAGGAGTCTGTATCAACACTGCGGTCATGTATAGACCTGTCAAACAACAATAGGATGCGCACTAGAGGTTGATACAAGGAAATCACTTAAAGGTTAAAGTTGTGTCACTAGTAATGCTGTTACAGAATTGCTGATAGTTTTTTTGACATTTAAAATTTAATATTCAGCTCCAAATTCTATTACCTGGTTAAGACCTTTGACCTTTGTGTTTTTTAGGTGGGATGTAAAGCCAGCCTAGTGTTTTTCCAGTATTTCATCATGGCCAACTTCTTCTGGCTGCTGGTGGAGGGTCTGTACCTCCACACTCTGCTTGTCGTCATCTTCTCTGAGAACAGACACTTTATCGTCTACATGTTCATCGGCTGGGGTAGGCTGGCCTGCTGATGCTCACATCAAAAATCACATTCAGTCCGCTTTTCTTTAATTTGAAGTTAGGCATCTTTTGGAATTAGGAAGGACTAACTTCATACCTGTCAAGATTGGGATTTTAAAATAATAATAGTTTGAACTTGCATATTGTAAGAATAAAAAAATGCTTTGCACATATAAATTTTTTAGGGCAATATGTGAGTGAAATACTCGAGAAATGACCATCCATCCTGAACCCCTCGCGCTGCTGTTCTTCTTCTTCTTCTTATAGTTTTGGTTGAACGGCATAATTACTGTTTTTATCAACCTTGTTTCCAGCTGCAGAGGAGCTGTTTTCAGCAAAGTAGCTCTGATAAACCCAGACAGTCCGAGAGAGGCTGGTGAATAGAGTCAAACATCTAGCAGCTAAAGAGGCAAATATTTTTCTCAGGAGTTGGCAGAGACCAAACCAGAGCTAAAAGGAGACTGACTATTAGAATTACTTTTATCGTGTCCAAAAAGGTTGCTCTATGTCTTCTGGATGTGTAAATAGGCAACTGTTTGCTAATGCATTTGACATGTTGGCTTGTTGTTGAGTTATTCTGCCCCCTAGGGGTAAAAAATGTATTAATGCAGCTTTAAACAAAATTTACCTGTAGGTGTAGCCAGTTTTTACCTCTGGGCAGCCATACTTGTAAAATGATGGTGTATTAGTTCCTTAAAAATAAATTTAATAAATTACTTAAATTTAGTGCTTTTGTCAATCACGTTGATCTACTAAATCATTTCCTTTCTTAAACCTATTGCAAAATAAAAATGTCATATTTCTGTACACACCTGTTTGCATGTGTGTATTAAACACTAAAATTAAATTGGTGTCCAATAGTATTATCTTTTATTTTTATTTTATTTATTTTGGTAGTTGCAAAAGATAATTAAATATTTAAACACACTTATGTGGTTCATGTTATGAGGTATCAAATTTGCCTTTAGAATAAGTGTGCTAACTGTAATGTGATACATTTAAAGGTTCAGTGTGTAAGTTTTAATGACAACTAGTGGTGAGGGTTGCAAATTGCAACAAACTGCTCACTCACTGCTCCCCCTCCCAACCCACCCTTTCCAAGTACGTAGGATAGCTATGGTGGCCGACACAGGACAAAAGATGTCATAGTCTGAGCAGACAGTCAAGAAACTTGGTTTCTTTGGATGTGTGTATATATATATATATATATATATCAAGAAATTAAGTGCACATTATGCTTCATACTCTTTAATACATTATTTTACTATAATTGGGAGGGTTGGCTCATCTGGACTAACAAACTAAAGTAAACTAAGAACATTTCAAAAACATCTCACATCTAGTGCAAGTGTGAGCACTGACAGATAACGGGAAAATGTAAGTCTCACTGTTTCTGCACCAGAGTCCATTATAAACCACATAATACCTGAAGTTTACAAAGGCGAGGATGGTGAAGATCAAGGCTTCTCTCTTACCAAAATGTCTTTTTAAATAAACTTTTAGCTTGTGGTACAAACGGTGCAACATTTTAAATGGGCATGTACCCTGTTAATTATCAAATTGAAGCAATAGCCCTACAAACAAATATGTTTACTTATGCAAATTCTGAAAGTATAAGCATTATTGGTAACTTGATAGTGTGGTGGCACACGGTTTTGTTAGCAGTATAAATAAATATGTTTTTTTCCACCAGGGCAGTGAAATGTGAAGTTTAGCTGGCTGATCTGAGCGTCCATGCTGTACAATTTTAATGCCAATAATATTCATCAGCTGGTTGTCTCACGAACATTACCGGAACATTTCTGTCCACCAAGCCAAAACACAACGCTGGAGAATAATGTTAGCCTACATGAAATTACAATCCGATTACATATTTTACAACACTGACAAGAAATGGCTCATTCTAAGGTAATACACATAATGGCTCATAATGTAAGGTCTTTTTACACCACTGAGAACATAGTCATGGATATTATATTGCATTTCTGTCAGTAGATCCTCAGATATATTACACACTCAACCTTTAATACATTTTTACATAGTATTTATATTATCTATAAATAGTAAATAATACTATATAGAATATACAATAATTATGACAAATATTAGTTAAATAAAAAATAAAAATACATTTAAAAAAGAATACAATAAATGGTATTCTGTTTTCCTCATGGCATTTTGCAGGAATCCCCACTGTGTTCGTCTCTGTGTGGGTGATTGCAAGGATTTATCTGGAAGACACAGGGTGAGTGCTTCCAACCAATCATGAACCAATAACTCATTAGCATACAAATTTGATTCAGATTTGGTATTTGTGTACATCATAATGTCCCTCAATCATATTACATTTTAGATTTTGTATTTAATTGTGTAACAGAGTCTGCATGCCATGTGTTGTCTGACATATTAAAAATTATCTGTAATTTGTTATAAAATATACAAACGTACGTCATGAGCTCTTTTGATTTGTTTTTTATTTCATCATTTATAAGGTGATAGGACATGGGGAATTTCAATCACATTAGAGAGCGGCCCACATTGATACTCAAGGGGGACTGTGACTGTTATTTCCTCAAATTAAATTTTATTGATTAGATTCTGGCAGCAGATAACCATATGGGCATGAAACGCGGTTTCCAGAATAATAAGACAAATATCCCACATATCAAAGAGTACTTTATTGGATAAGTCAGCTGGTGGGATTTGCATTGAGTACTCATCATTATGAGCCTGGTGCCATGGATCTGCTCAGCTTTTGTTGTACATTATTACATCTGACACTGCAGCTCATTATTGAACGTAGCGGGTGTATTCTAAAAAGAACTTTGTGAAAAAACTCTGCAACAACAATTACAGAGCAGCAGCCTGATAACAAAAGGATACAGCCTCAAAGTGTGAGACTGTGTGTAGAATGGTAATGAAGCTTGTCATGAAAGTTCATTCTTGACCTTGTTCTAGAGCTCTGAACCACCTGATAAAGGGCAAGAGGGGCAATTGAAAGTGCCAGAAAAAGTTATACCTTGAGATTATATTATTTTTAATATATATATTAATTAATTTATTATATTTTAGAACTGGAGACTTGAGCTGGAGACTCATGTTAAGATTAAGTCACAACAATTATCTTGAGACTTAAGTTTGACTTGACTGCTTTCAGACTTGATTTGAAGGCATTCGAGTCTCAAGTTATGACCATTTGGCCATAACGTTACACAGGCCTTGTTTAGCCAAAAAGTTTGAATATTAATCATTAGGCCTATACCTTATGTTCAAATGATCTAAAAGCCTTCCATCTTGACTTGCAATTTTCCTATTAAGACTTGTGACTAGTGACCCTCTAGTATTCTTGCAAGGGTAAAGAACTTATCCACAACAGTGGGAGATGCTGTCCCGAGTAAAGTGCTGTCCCAAGTACTATGGGGTCTTGTCTTGGGGTCATGAGTAAGATGGAAGATGGAACGTGAGCTCGACAGGCAAATGGGGCAGAAGTCATAATACGGATGCTGTACCAGACTGAGAAAGCTGAGCCTGAAGGCTAAGCTTGAGTCTGGGCTCTGAGTAGACATTAAATTGCTTCAGCCCACTGATAATGATGCCTCCCATTTTCCGGCATGTCCAACTGGGAGAAGACCTAGGGGCAGACGCAGAACATTGGGAGGGATTACATACTCCACCTGACCTGGTAATATCTTGGGATCCTTATGGAAGAGCTGGATGCTAGCCGTTAACTACTGCGGCATGGATCTGGATAAGTCGACAAAAATGGACTGATGGATCTTAGACTTGACTTAGACTTGCCCTGAAGGCCATGCAACTCGACTTAAGCCCTGAATGACTTTTAAATAGCTCTGGGCATGATTCCACCTTGTAAAGTTGCTTTTCACATCAAGCTCTCCCTCTGCTTGTGACCATCTGCTCTTTTCTGTTGCCGCTGTTTTACAAATATACCATGTATACTGTAATAGTTAAATTATGGTTATTTATGGTGTCCTCAGATGCTGGGAGACAAATGACAACCCCATACCCAACTGGGTGATCAATGGGCCAATTGGATTCTCCATTATGGTATGTTGAGGTTAATTACCTCCTGTTTCACATGCTTGTTGGTTCAAAAAGCATCCAAATGGATGATATAAAGTCTACAGGTGCTAACGGCTGCCCCATCAGTCACTGTGCTACACCTGTCAAGCAATATAGCACTGCACAGATGCCATTTACAATGACAATTAATGCTAAGTTAGTCCTTGATTTCAGACAGAAGCGAACAAAAACAGGCTTCTCATTTTTAGATGGCAACCGTGGATTTCAGCTGTAGCGAGTGTGATAATTAACGTTACCTCCATGAGTTGGTTGAAAACTTCTCTCGCTGACTTTCCATCTCACTCATTAAAAAATGAGAGATCTGTAAATATGTATATGTCCACATACATGATATGATGCCGGCTCAGGGCTGCATAATGATGCGACAAAGACACCTAAGCCAGCAAACAGTAAATTTCTTGTATTGCTGAGTAGAGCTAGTCATCCTGATAGCAGGACAGCTGAGTAGTCTGAGTAGATATTGCTGAGTAGAGCTAGTCATCCTGATAGCAGGAGTTTAAAACAAATTATCAGTATCAAATACTCCAAAACAAGAGCACTCACTTGTGTTTCTGTCTTAAAGGAGACCTATTATACAGCATTTCCAGTCCTATATTGTAGTTCTGTGACTCCTTTTTGGCAGCTTTGCATGATTCCAAGTTCAAAAAAGTAATTTTCTGTGTTATACTGGCTCTTCATGTAGCCCTTCATTTTAGCCTCTGTCTGAAACAAGCTGTAGATGCTGCTGTCTCTTTAAGCCTCTCACGGCCCTCTGTCTTCTGATTGGCCAAGACTTGAAGAATGTTACCAGACTGTTCTTGCCGCTGAGCGGTACAGACAGACTGAGCGTTGCTGTGCCATTGCTGTGAGGAACAAATGACCATATATAGAATACCGGCTCTGTCTGGCTCCGTCTGGCATAACATCAACAATCCAACATTGTAACATTGTAGATACATCATAAAATATGGAAAACTATAATAGGTCTCCTTTAACTTTCTATTCATTGTTTTCTGTGGGTGGAAAAATGTCCAACACGGCAAGATAAAATTACCTCTTGGGAGAACTGACTCTCTTTAGTTGTTCTGACATTTCTGTTATTTTGTCACTGTCTCCAAGGTGAACTTTATCCTGTTCATCAGCATCATTCGGATCTTGATTCAGAAGCTGAGGTGTCCTGACGTGGGTGGCAATGACCAATCGCAATACAGGTATCTCACACGAGGCGGAGATTTGATGCTCTTTAAACAGTGTGAACAACAAAAAAGAGACAACACAGAGATGTAAATCCCTATCTTGACTCACTTGGAGATATGCTACAGACCAGTTTTTCAGTTTCAACTTTTAATAGTAGTTGACAGATTGTGTCAACATGTATGTGTGATTAAGCAAACGCTGCACCTGCTCAGTCAGGTTAATGCCTCAAAACATAAAAAACAGATCATCTGAGACACCCAGAACATTTTTATCCCCTCTGTGTTTGCTGTCTGGAGACATAAGAGTGACGCTTACAGTCATGCAACAAGACAGCGTTTCCTGATGCAGCGTTCATAAAATGGGGGGGATGAAACCCCTATGAAGCGGCACATTATTGCACGATTCAGTGTGTTTAATCTTCAGGCAATTTTACCCTCCAGGGAAATCTGAGCTGTGCTGAGTTGTCAGGTATTCTTGTGTCCCCCGCCTGTGGAGATCTGAGATTTAGAGGTGAGAGGTGATGACAGGCCTGGATAAGCCCGATTTGTTCCAGTGCAGAATCTCCTGTTAGTGCACATGAAGATTCAGTGTCAGTGTCAGTGTAGTTCAGCATTGGGCTGAGCAGAGTCGACAGCTGGAGAGTGATACTGGGAGGGAGGATTTTACAGTCCTATATGGGTGTTGCAGGAGTAATACTACATTTTATTATCCTTCAGTTTTCAAAAACCCTGAACCAAGATAGGGCCCCGCATTCTGTCCAGTCAAGTTTACATAGTGTGCCATTCTTTGCCAAAGCATCTTGCATGAGTGCATCAATATGTGACATATCCAAGTGGACTCTCGCTCATGTGATGCATCTTAATCATCACTGGAGTCAGATGGAGAGTGTGAACTGTGAAGTGTACGAAAACTGACATGTATTACTGCTCTTTTCAACCAAGCCTGTTTGTTAATCATGGAGAGCCATGCAATGCCAGGAGTGTTCTGACATTGTTGTTGTTAATGTTAAAAACACAAACTCAGTTGGAATATTTTATATTAGGTCTGATGTCAGTCGTGTTTAATTTGCTATTTCATGGCTTTGAACACAGTCCATAACAAAAATGTCTGTGTATCAGTATACATGTGGTCGGTTGTTCTTACCTTTAAAGAAACAAAAACTTACTGATGAATAATTTTAAAAAGTTACACATGAATGTTTTATGAATGAGGCCCATTGTCTCTGAAAAGGCACGTTGCTATGGATGTGGTCAACACAACAAACACAATTCAATTCACCTCCAAACAATCTTAACTCAGTGCTTTTTTCTGAGCTTTCAACTGCATTTCAGACAACTAAGAACTCCATTCACACATAAATAATGTGAAATGTGAAAGATAAGAATAAAGTTAGTAAGTGAACCTTGAGTTTTAACTCTTTGTCAAACCACCTTTTTTTGTCTCAGACACAGATCACGAAACCTAAACTCTCTGCATGGCAAAAATGTGACATTTTCTTGGAGCAAACTGACCCCTTACAGTAAATCAAAAATATATGCTCTTATAAGACAGCAATAACAACAAACACTACATCGGTTGCAGTTAAATGGGCTACAAATAATGGTTCATTACTGTTTTTCTGCCTATCAGGAGGTTGGCCAAATCTACGCTCCTACTGATCCCTCTGTTTGGGATCCACTATGTGGTCTTCGTTTCTCTTAGTGAATCCATCGCAGAAGATTATAAAATATTCTTTGACCTCGCCCTCGGATCCTTTCAGGTGCTATATTATAGTTACTAAATGTTAACGTCATTGTCCTTAATACTTTTTAGTGCTTGAGTCCATCGTGATGTTGTAAATTTAAGATTTAAATGTTGACTTACTTCCGATGTTTGTCGTTTTTTAAGATTAGACTTCTGTGTTGTTGTTTTTTCAGGGTCTGGTGGTGGCCATTCTGTACTGTTTCCTAAATAGTGAGGTAAGCTTAGATTATATTAATTGACACAGCACATAGCGTTTGTCATATTAGTGAGAAGTGAGTAAACCTCAGTCAACAACATTTGCATAAAACATCATTTCTTTTTTAGTATTTGATTTTAGAGATCATGCAGGCATAATATAACATATGAAATAATGTAGTAATAAGTTAAAATATACAAAACACATAAATATAAATATATAATTAAAATATCCCCATAAATGTGTCTGCCCTCAGCAGATAACATGCTTATTTAAAAATGCACCACTAAATTTCATTGTGGTTTTAATTGGCAATATTTGATACACAGTAAATTATATTGGCGTTTTCTCTGGCTGGAGCTAAAGACAGTATGTCATAATTTCATCATCAGATCTTTTTTCATTAAAAATATTTTGAACTATAAAATTTCAAACAGCAAGTGCAGAAAAAAAGAAATCTGACCAGGGAACTTCATGTGAAAGTTATTAAAATAAAATCAGATAATTGTTAAACCTAATTCACTGACTAAAACAAGTGAAAACAAGAATGCACCACATCATTAATACACAAGAACAATTTGACAATGTAATTATGATATACAAATATAATAGGGCTGCAACTAATGCCTATTTTTGTAGTCAACTAATCTGTTAATAAATTGTGAATTACTGATCTCCAACACACAGCCTAACTAGCTAACGTTACCATTAAGTGAACAAGGTTTACTATTCAGAATGAACACTAGTATCAACGCCGGGGGGAAACCAGGGACAGACAGTGTAGTCTACTCCTATAATTCACTGCTTTATTTTATTTAAAACTTTTTAACAAAGATTTTTGCTTTGCAGCTATATAAAATAAAAGCAAATATATAAAATATAAAAGCAAGTACTATAACCACGACTGTACACTAACAGTGTAATGTCTATTTAGAATAATAAAGCAACAGTCCCCTTTCATACTGCTTCTTTAGTTTATTTTTCCAAAGTGCTTATAAGTTTTTATAAGTGGAGAATGTTCTGTAGGCTACTTCACGAGCCAGATGTTTCTTGATGTACTTTAAACCATTACTCATTACTAATAACTTTTTTAAAGCTGAGTCGCCGACATTCCCAGCGTTGTGTTGGACAGATTTGTGCTGCAGTGTTCATGAGAGAGAGAGAGAGAGAGAGACGAGCTAGAGTATGTGCTGTGCGAATGCGCTGATTTGCAATCAAATAAGATTTCAAATAGGCCTAGTAAAATAAAATAAAAACTAAAATCAGTATGTGGCGGTCAGAGTTGATATTATGGCGAGCCGCCACAAATAAATGAATGTATAGGAAACACTGCCTTTCCTCTGTTGCTGCAGTGGTCTGAGTAACTGGAACCAGGGCGCTCTGTGGGCGTGACTGGTCGGCCGGCTGCCACCGCTAACCCTGCTCAAAAGTGTTGATAAAATAGCGTACAAAACTTGTAAATAAATAAAAAACTTCTGCTGTTCGCCTTTTTTCTCTGCTTCTCTTTCTGCTTATCGCATGATTGCTTCTTCTTCATGAGTAGTCTTACAGTCAAGCAGTCATGGCAGACAGTGGAAGCGGTACTGCCCCCAGCACTTCCTGTAATGCATTGCAGTTAGAAATAAACAACCAGAAATGTTCTTAATAAGAAGATTTCTATCTCTCCCTTAAACAGCCTCTCTGTAACGATGCGTCCACAATGAAATTTCACGTCGTCAATTACTTCGACTAATTGTTATAACGTTATATAACAAATAACATTTGCAGGTAAACGAGTGGTTCAGTGCTTTGAAAAGCTTAGTGAAAGTTTGATTCACTTTGTAACATTTAAATCATTTAAACTTTAGGTAATTAGTATTTGTTTATTTATCCAATTTTGCAGGTTCAAGGTGAGCTAAAGAGAAAGTGGCGGAGTATGTATCTGAACTGCCGTCTGAGCAGAAATCACCCCTTCAACAGCAACTTTGCCTCCAGAAACGGTTCAGAGCACATGGTGCAGTTTCATCGCAACTCGAGAACCCAGTCCATCCTGCAGTCGGAGACCACAGTGCTGTGAGGACCTGAGGGGATCTTTTAATATAAACAAAAAACAAATACAGTCTCCAGGTTGATCTGGGTCGAAAAGTTTTACTAAATGATTTTAACACAAAGTTGAGGTGAAGTACCACATGGGTGGGACCTGCACATCGTTTCAGAGTAGATTTCGGTTTTCGCTTTACAAATCTCTGCAAGCCTTCAAAATGTTCCTCAAATGGACCTAAAATGGTTCTAGTTCATCACATGAGGGTGTGCTTGTGTTTGCTGCCAACAAAGAACCATTTTTATTCACATTATGTCGTGTTATCTGTGTGGGCCAAGAAAGAACATTCACAATCTTCATAGTGAGTCAGTTTTTCCTGGACCCGTAAACATGAGTGAGGTAAGAAATGTACGTACGTGACTTGTGTGTTATGTGCATCTGTTAAATATTTATAAAGAAATATGTGTAAGTGACAGTGGCATTCTTCTCTTGACAGTTAACAGAGCTGTAGACTCTGTAGATTGGAATTGAGTTACAACCGCGATGCAGTCAGAACGCTGCCATGTCAGTCATAATTAGGACTGGGATGACTCGTCGACTTAGTCGGCGTAATCGATTACGTAAATACGTCGACTCGCATTACTTGTGTTGAAGTGTCGCTGCATCTGGTGTTTGTGGGATTCCCCCGCACAAGCTCAAGCTACAAGACCTCGCGTTTGACTGTCTAAAGCTTGGGAGTATTTTAGACAGACACTCAACAACATGCTGCTCCGTGAGCTTCACTGCAGCACAACTGCTGTCAACGAATACGTGAAGCAGCATGAACACGTGAAGCGAAAGTATCCTGAAGCACTGACGGCAGCACCGCAGATCCTGTCTCCACACAAGCACGGCACATTATCAGCATGAGGACACGCAGTCCGTTAAAATGTATTTTCTAAGTATTTCATCGCCTTCATGTTAAAAGTAATTTCTACCCCACTGCTGTCATTGTAACATAACATTACACCATGTGTCAACTAAAGTTCCCCCGTTTCATATTTTGTTTATTTAGCAGCCACGTATGAGCGAGAAAACAGCTGGAAGTAACAAAACAATAGCAGTACAGCCTGTGAATCATTTCAGTTGTTTTCTTTGCCCCTGATGCAGAAATACATTTGATTAATATACTGCATTACTAAATATTGAAATAAATCCATGTCAGAACCATTTAATATTTGAAGTAAAGCAGCCTAATTAATGTCTGTTATTGTTATTATCACAGCACATCAGTGAAGAGGAAATATGATTCATTTTAAGAAATGCTACTATTATCATTATTCTAATGTGCTTCATCAGGATGATTGAATAAAATAGTGATTTATTGATTAGACATGTTTTTGATATTTATTTAGAATAAATTGGTTTGTTAATCTAGTAGTAGGAAACTTTTTTTTCTTTAGAATACACAAAATTAGTCGTCAGATTAATCGACTAATCAAAAAAATAATCGTTAGATTAATCGACTTGAAAAATAATCGTTATGTACAGCCTTAGTCATAATATCGTGACAATTTGTGATTGATGGGAGTGAAAAGTAGTACATACTTTCGTGTTAACATAACTGACCTGGAATTCTTGATTGTCAGGAGCAAAGGAGGAAATATTGTGATGTTGTTGACAACAAAACGTCAGACATTAGCACGGGAGACTGCTGTTTATTTCCTACCGCGAGTCAGTGTTGGTTTCCTTTAACTTCTTGACATTCCAACGGGTTCTAGCGGCAGCTCTCGTTATGTGCACACAACTGCTATGTTAAATTCATATTCATATGATACACATTTGAAAGCTAAAATCCTTGTGATTCGACCATTTCAAGATACGATCAGCGCAGCGGGTACAATCAGCGCCTCTGTCAGACCAACCAGTACAATCAAAATTGACGCGACTCACCTATGAAGCCTCATAGTAATCCAACGATCGATTATATTCCAAAAACAATGGTCTTATTACGTTGTGAAAGGTCCAGACGATCCAATCCAGTAAAAACATGTAGTCCAAAACACGTTATTCCATCAATAAATCCCCAGGGACTGCTGCTGCATCATTTCATATTTGCCGGCAGACATGGCAGGTTTGTCATTATAACATAATAACTCCGATTTGGATGTAAACAACTACGATATCTTGTATTCAAATTAGCCGCTGAACTCTGACCTTTCGACTGACCCCGAATTCGACCCAATAGGAGCCCACATGTCACGTCCACGGCCTACAGTAGCCAAGGAGAGCCCGCTCTAAGGAAGGGCCAGCCCGTTATTTCGTGGGTTGGCTGGGCCAGTTGCAACCAATTGTGCCGATGACTGGCACTTACTTATAAATAATAAGTCCCAACTATAGTTTTCTGCATGCATGTGTTAGCAAACATTTTCAAGCAGAAACGAAAAATATATATTAGTTTTAATGTGTTTAAACTTCTATTAATCAATTCCAGTAGCGCTTAAAGTGATTCGGACTTTTGGGTTAGACATTTCAGTGTTATCTTTCAGAGAAGCCCAAAAAACATGTATTTACTCTAAATGGTTCAAGAACTGCATTCAATTAAATTTGGATATGTCTTGAATAGGCGTTTTGGATGAATTTTACAGGAATGGTTAACCATGACCACCGTTGTTCCCCTACCCTAACCAAGTAGTTTTTGTGCCTAAACCTAACCAAACCTTAACCATAGTGGTGTCGACTCATTAAACAATTGTATTTGTTAAGGCACAGACAAACTAGGTCGTCCTGCCAATAGGGTGTCATATATTTTGTGTGGCCAGACCCACCCATCTGATACTTGAAGCTTGTTAAAATCACTGCTAAGAATGATTCACAAATGCATTTTGACCCAAGTCAGCTTATGATCCCTGGTTGTCTGGGCTACTGGTGAAGACATTGGAAAACAGGATTGTTTTGTACTTATTCAGAACCTAAACTGTTCCGACAAACAGCACAATTTTTAATGTACATTTAATGAAGTGCTGTGCATGCTCCAAATTCTTTATCTGTGCTATGATGTGTTATAGTGAAACAATGCCGGTGCTCACACTGAAGATGTCATTAATTAAAAGGTAAACTTAAGACACTGTGTCCACCAGGAACTTCTGTTGACATTGGTGGCAGTACGACTTGACACTTGATTTGTTGATAAGCTGAATGCAACCACCACAGTTGTCATATCCAAACTATACAGTCTAAGGCTGGGAGACCTATATTATGACCAGCAGGTGGTTATAATGTTATGGCTGATTCAAATATTTCACATATTTGCAGTGTGCAATTTGAGCAGGACTGAGGTTTTGGTATGAAGTAAATTATAAAATAGGTTTATATTTTTGAAGAAAAACTAGTTAATAGTCAGCAATCTGCCTCCAATAAATTTTCATTTGCTCCAGCAGAAACAGAAGCGTCTCTCATGGTCACCAGTTGAAGCAGAAGTACCAGGTGGATACTGCAGCCTGGAATAAAATAATAATAATTCTAATGATGCTTCATAATGCTTAAGAATTGTAATAATGTTGGTTTTATTCATGCAGGAAGTGTTATGCAGCAGTTGCATGATATTCTCAGTGTTTGCCTTTTTTTTCATTGCTGTTGGTAACTGGCTGTCAACGCATCAATTTCTTGTAGAATCTAATGTAAATTTTGTCAAGAGATGACCAGAAAAAAAGGAAAAGCCTGCTTTGTGCAGCGTGCTATGTTTGTCTTTTACATAATGTATTTAATTGTCACCAGAAGACAAAATGTCTGGTGACACTTGACTTAAGGCATACAGAATAAGAGTTTTCATACTTATAATAACTTACTATTTACTATATGTAAAACAGTACTCCCTCCTGTTACGATCTTTGGTGAACAAAAGAAGTATAAATAAGTTCCACATTTTAAATTAATTTTATTTAAAAATTACAAGGATCAATGTTCAACAAAACTTTTTATATTTAATTCCACACTCCAAACAACACTCTAATAAAAAGTTTAATAGGAGTCAGATCCCACTGTGTCTTAAGAGATACAGGATTAACCTCTTATAGTCTGTCCGGGTCAAATTGATCACAATAAGCAGATGATTACTAGAACTTTTGTTTTTCTTTATTCCTCATGCAGATTGCCATCTAATTTACATATGTATATTTATTATATTTCTATAAAGTAATGAAAGTGTACTGTGTATAATTCTAATAAACAATACAGTGATGCAGAAAAGTACTGTATGTAAAATATAGCTTACTGTAGTTCAATTCATAATTAGGCATAAGGAGTTTTGTGCTGTTACATCAGTAAAACAAATACATCAGTATTGAAAAAACACTACCAAGCCACAGCTTGCTGGTGGTTTATTTGGATTTAAAATTTTAAAATGTATTTTTATTTTTTTTTTAAATACAATGCAATTTAAATGTAGAAGAAACAAACTTGCATTGTCCAAAAGAGTAACTTAAGCTAAAAAAAAACAAGCTACAGATTAAAATTATTACAACAAGCTACTGCATTATATTCCATTATATTTATATATTTTCATTTGTCATCTGCCAAATGATTTTTGTTTCCCTTCATATAAACAAAGACATTTCCACCATAAATTGGTGCAGGTCTCCCAAAATCTTCTGGGAGAGGACCCCCAGTTCCCCCACTCATATATTTCAGAATAGAATATTTCTTCTGAAATAATGTTAAAATATCATCTCGTCATGGTCTGTTGACCCAAGTGTATCGTCACACCCCTAATCTGAGCCCGTATGTCTCCACCACTTTCCAACACAAAGTGACTCCCTTGTTGACAGCTTTAGCAGGGCTCTCTTCCAAACTCCTCAAAAATGGGGAAAACACAGGCGTAGTCAAAAAATAGTGACTTGATTTTTATTATGCCGGTCTCCAAGATGCAAACAGTGAAAATATCTTGTATTAAGAAAACAAAAACTGAAACAAATAAACAACTATCAAATTACTCAATAATAAAGTTACAGAAATAGTTCTTTAATAACTCAACTTCTCTCTCTATCTCTACTCACTTTTAAAGCCGGTAGCCCTTCACACTATGCTTAACAATTATTTACAAAATACAATAAACACATTTTACTTACTAGAAAAAAGGATTTACATTTATTACACTCCAATATATTTTCAACAATAATTATACCCCTCTCCACAAACTTTTTCCTTCCCATGAAACAGTTATTTGCAACACATATTATTACAACCAAAAACCATAATTGTACAGTTCACATGACCATGAAAGCGTGCGAGAACATGCTATTTAAAAGACGGAAATGTTCCGCTCCTGTTTTGCCAAATCGGACGGGAAACAACAGAGCGAATGCCACATAGTAAGTGTTTATTGTTTGTTTGTTTAAATGTATGTTTAAAGAAGAGTAGAGCTACCAAGAATGCACCGTTGATCACGCTACTAAAACAGTAAAGGAAAAATGCACAATAGCAAGGTTTATGAACGGCTTAATTAAGGCTGGAAAGGAGCGGGGAGTGAGTGTGTGTGTGCACTGCCCACACTCAGTGACAGAGCCACTCCGTCACAACAGCAATCTGCAAACTTTTGAAATGTTGAACTCGTTCTGCGTAATTGATTATGATTATGACAAGTTAGTACTTAGCATTAACAAATCAGAAACTGACCACCATGTAGAGCAATTTTCTTGCACAATAATTTAATGAATGAAAACAACACAGGGTTAGGGTTGCATTTGATAAATTTAAGCACTGTTAATGCAGTTTATGGTCCTTGAATGTCCTTATTATATAGCTATACCTGAGTATCATCAGCATAACAGTTAGAATTTAATGATGATGTGTCCATGTATGTAGATTGAGATTAACCGAGTGCCTATGATTGAACCATGTGGAACACCACATTTCAAATGAGCTGCAACAGAACCTTCCTTCTACCACAGCAAACGTTCAGAGAATAAGGTTTAAATTAACCTTAAGATTCATTTGGATGTACTGTTGTCATCATGATTGTCAGCAACTGAAGCAAGAAAATCAATATTTTGGCAAACTCGTTGGAGTTTTTCTAGAGAAGAGGCAGTATGATGTACTAAGTAACCTGTCAATTAAGCAAACGCTTTGTGAAAAATAATCCTCTTTACGGCATAATCTTCCAACTTTATATGCGATTTTTCATATAAACTTTTCAGTGGGATGTGAAGGTACAGTAAGTCATAAAAATATTCTGTAAAATTTAGACAAATAAACCAAAAAATAAAATATTATTTAAAGGTTAAAATTTTTTTTAAGAGGTTCTGATATTCAAATATCAAACATTATAGTCAAATACAGCTGTATGCCTTAAGGAAAGTGTTATATAAATATATTACAAACAGGATGTCACCATGTTACTCAGTGCATCATAAGACATCTACAGTATGTGACAACACACACATTGTTGGTTTGTGGAGTGATTTCATATTTAATGTTGACTGACATGATGCTGAGTATCGTGTCTTTATTCAACACATGTATTTGTACAGAGACACCATGAATGTCATGCAAATGATGATTGATAAAGGCTATCTTTGTAAGCATTGCACTTGCATTTTTATACTGTGTTTTGTTGATCATGTAATTTACTGAAGCATTGTAACAAAAAAAGCCCCAAGCAATTTGTAGAGCTTGAAAGCAATTCCATACATTTGGGAAACTTTAATCTACTTATAGTAACATCTTAGGAGTTACATGCCTTCAGACACTTTTCCTTGATGTAGCCTATCCAAGCAAACAGTGGTTACTACAGAGTCAATGTCGTCAT